CTCTCTCTCTCTCTCTCACAAATCAGAGATAATCAATGGCGAGGCTCATAGGATCGGAGACTGTTGCCTACCAACGTAGTGTGGGTCACTCGAAGGGAGCAGCGACTTTTGTTTTGAAGCAGTGGTGGCAACTGCAGACATGGTGGAGAATTTGGGAAGGAGACTTACCTATCTGAACTAGCTCTCCACTTGCGGGCCGGTCCAACAACTTTTGCGATTTTAGCGTCCTCAAGCTACCAATAAGCCTTTTGTTCAGTGGACACTTACAACTTTTGAAATCACTTGAAGCTTCCGTGTGGCTGAGTCCAACCCGCCGACCCCACCCAACAGCGCCACAGCGACTTTTGCAAGTACCCTTCCTGTCGTTTCTCTAAGCTGTGGTGCCTTCCATTCTCTAGGAGCGCGACAGTGATTGCGGAAGCATATAAGACGTGTCGGCCATGAGTCAGTAACGCTCATCTGCACCGTCACCTTCCTCCACCAACGTCCCCAAAACCCCCGTTCACGATGTCCCCACACCGCGTACCACAGTCTCAGAACAGTCCTCTAAAGAAACGCCGATCCAAAGCACCAAGGGCGGAATTATGGGAGAAACACAAAAAGAAGCTACGGAAACTCTATGATGAGGAATTGAAATCATTAAAAAGCATTCGCTTGACTATGCGCAGCAAATGCGACTTCGAAGCGGAAGAGCATATGTATAAGACTCGATTCAGACAATAGGGGTTCAAAAAGAGTAACAAGAAGGGCGATTATGAGAAGATCATTACTCGTACTGGCGAAACTCTCTCCACTGGCGGGCAGGCCGAAGAACGTGGCGACTGGGCAAAGGTCAGGAGGGCTACACGGACAAACCGTCTTTGGAACGGATATGAAATCCAGGGCAAGACACTGATCAAACGTGCACGTCAGTGTCAGGTCTCGGCCGCCCCGACCTCTTTCGACGCCACTGCCACCCCATCACGACCAAATTCCACTACCGATCTTCGGACCCAAGAAGCAGAGGCAGGCACAAGCTAAGACGAGGTGACCGACGCAGCTAGGATTGATTCGGTCGCATCGGTGCGGCCCAGTTTGCGAGCTGCGCACGACCACGCTTACCCCTCCAGATGACGATGGGCCTATGACCATTCTTGTGTTTTTTAAGTTCGCCTTGTGTGTCGAATCTCAGGTGGCAATCCTGATGCGGACACGAGTCGGTGCCGGAGTCAGATGGTGTGTCAACCGGCCGCAGGAGTGCGTAGGCCCAAGGCGGGGGCGATATTTTAAAGGGCCGTACTCTCTCCATCATCATCGGTCAAAGTCTTGCGGTGTATTAGGCTGTTGGTGCACGAGGATTATATCTGAGTTTCCTTTTGTATTGGAAACGCGTGAGATCAAGTACTTTGCGCCAAATCTACCTCCCGTTATTTCACCTCGCTATAGACCACTTCAAACTCTAGGGTCACCGGGTTTTCTTGGGTTCCTGCCCACTGTCCTGGACTCTAACTAAACCACGTGAGCCGCTTCACTGATCCGCACAAGGACGACCGTGTAGATCCCCGCTACGTCAGACACTGGTATACATCATTGTCGAATTCCAGCACCTTCTGGCAGAAAAGACGTCAAGTACGGGATGAAAGGCTGTTTGGGTGTACACTGAGACTAGTGTCCGGTGACTTTTGCGGACCTACTGTAGAAGATGTAGATCTGTTCTGTTTGGTTGCTCGACTTCTAGGGCGAAGATTGGCTAATCGTACGAATGCCGTACACGAGACTTGTTTAGCCTTTGTGATCTTTTGGTCGGCGCCATGGCCATTCTCAAATCTTTTGTAGGTCTCCGGCCTTCATTCCAATTGTCTCATGTAGCACCACCGTCATCCGTCCACCTTTAGAGGCGCACTGGCGCACCTCAGCGACCGCTCGTTCCAGCTGTTCGTTTCCGGATGGATCCAAGGACGAGCGAACCTTTAAGATCTCTTCCAACGCCATGATAAAGTTCTCGGTCTCCCGTTGCAAGAGTGATGCCTGCGGCGGACACGAACGCGAATCGACTGCCGTAAAGCCTCCGCCTTGCAGCAAACTAGGCAAGTCATCCAGCCAGGCCAGCGACGGCGTGATCGTCCGGAGCACACCGGCAATGGTGAGTGGCGCTTCTCGTGGCAGGAGAGCTGCGTCATCCCTCGCCTCGTAGGCACACACATAGGGCGCGGTGATATCCAGCCATTGGACCCAGCCACCAGGCTTCAACATGCGATAGATATTAGAAATGACACGTTCGGCGTCGTCTACGCGAAGGCCGGCGGCAAGAAGCCGAAGGTTCACGAGGTCGAAACGAGCGACATATGCTTCAGGAAGTGATCCTGCCAAGTTGAACGTCTCAAAAGTGCAGCTCTGCGGCCAGGTTCCTCGCTCTGGAAAGAGGGCCTGCGAGATATCCAACCCTACGAACGAGCCCGAGTGAAATTGTTGCGCCATCTGGATGGTCCATATTCCGTTTCCACATCCGACGTCTGCTACGTGGAACTTTTGGTCCGTCACGAGACTCTCCACAATTTTGGGATGTAGCATCCCATCTGTTCTTTGCACGAAAAGGTGATGCTGATCGGTTAATCTGGAAGAGGCAGAAGTGTCGCGGAGGAGGAAGTAGGTGTCATCAGGCGTCTGAATCGGCGACATGCTAAATTCAGACAGATATAGCTCGGAAATTCTCTCAGCACACACTCTCAACAAAGCCGCTTTGGCGTCGGTCTTTCGGGATCTCATGGGCATCACAAAGACTGATTCCTGTGAGGGGAACAAAACCAGTTGGGCCGGGCTTTTGTAGGATTTGTTATGACTTCTCCGCTTGCGCAGCGTGTGTTGAGGCTTAGCTCGTCATAACCGTGTCGTGGTAGCGCCGGCGGGGACCACGAAATCTTGACAGCCTCCTATAAGTGACAACGCGCCCAGAGAAAGGGTCGAGAGGTCACTAGAACGAGTCCGTAGCAGACAGAATCCCCAGGGAACTCTTAGAGACTTGTGGTCGATGATTCCATTGGCTCTCTGGTCCCGATTATGAACTAAATTCGATATCGCCATTGTGATTACATAGTTGCTTAGCGAAATTCTCTACTTTCCCACCAATGAAGAGAAAATCTCAAATCTCCCGGCCAGAAGGCAAGGAAGGCTTTCAAGCAGGGCCTACCAGGTGAAATTCACTAACCATGTTCAGTTCTCGAAAGTCGAATTCCGACTTACCCTAGATCTGGGCCTTCGCTAGAGTGTTCTCAAAAGCTGGGTCAAATGTCTGTCCTTGGGGCTGAAAGAAGTGATTGGGAGTGTCTCGAAGATGGCGATGCTGTAGTCTTAGACTGAAGACTATCTTGATTCTGCAGATGCTACTGTATCTACGTCGAAACAATTGGCTAATAATTTACAGACTTCCGACTTCAAGAACCTGACAGAGATAGGCCCGATACCCTATGCACCGGTCGGGGATTACGTAGCATTGGTCGGAGAAGGACTACCGACCTTTGGGATATTCGAGGACGCCTCGCCTCTCAGTCTCTTCAAAGGCAGTGATTGGTGCGGTTAGGGTAAGACTTGATGGAGAGCTATCTACCACACCGAACCGTTGCCCTTGCCCGACAGAGAGCGATTCGACACCGTTGACCCAGCGACGGAGGCACCTCGGCCAGTCTGGCGCTCTTGGTTGGTCTCTCGAAGAACCCCAACCCCTTCGGGGCCCTGAGCACACCTTTTGGTTTCAGATGGTTGCATAGACTGAGCGGGTGCATGATTTAGCTGTAGCCCTTTCTACCCAGGCAAGTTGGCGGCACGAATCGTATCGGAATGGGACGCCTCGTCTTTCAAACATCGATTGGGGGGCAGCGGGTAGCCGGCATCACGCGCTTTTTCATCCAGACGGGAATCGGAGGAAGCTCGAGAATTAAACCTCCGACGTTCGTGGGCAAGATGTAGCGCCACTAACGACGCCCTCAGGACCTCCTCAGTCGCTGTTTATCAACGCTGTCCTGGTTGTCTCCCCGCCCGTCCGTCCCTTCACATGGGCTATTCTTGTTTTGTCGACGGCCAAGCCGGGGCGCAATAGTTACCGAGTAGGCAAGACTTCCACAATTTCCTAGGATTTTCTCGCAGAACGTAGGGCTCCTGCCCGACTTCGATACCGTTCAAGCATCAAGATGTCACTCCGCGGTGGCTCCGTTTGCAAATGGAGAGGGTAGCCATGGATGTTCTCCCAGATTTGGTTTCCTTTTTCCGTCTCATTTTTGGCATAATGATACATTGCCAGAAAGCATAACGCCCCGAAAAAGTATGGCGAATAGCCGCCGTTATACTTCCTCACTTTACCCTGTATGTTTTCGCAAATCTCTCGTACGTCCTCTAGTTGACGATGATTCAGGAGAAGGTCGACACGTTCCCGTAGGTCATTCCAAGCGCGAAAATCGACATCACCAGAGTGATCTTCTCTCAGGCGTTGATCTCCCACCCGAGAGGTACCATCCGGGATTGTACGTAAGTTCAATGGAAATGGAACCTTATTGGTCAGCTCGAACGCGTTTCCATGCACGGATTCATCGTCTCGGCGGTGACGGTAAAGCGTCAAGGTGTCGAAGCATGCTTTGGCCGGGTCGACAAGTATGTGAAGCGGGAACGTGCAAATCATATTCCAGAGTTCGTCCGCCTCTTTTTCAAGACCACATTCGTAGTAACAAATCGCCAGATAACAGAGGAGGCCAACATGGACTGAGGACAGCGAGCCATTCTGTGCTTCCAGTCGGCGCCGAATAGTGCGACATACCGAAAGAGCCTCATCTGGCAAATTTTGCTCATGGAGAGTGATAATGCACTTCCGGATCCTCTCGAACGTGACAGAGTCGGATGGATACCACAGTACACCAGGCTGGCGCGGAGCTGCGATCAAAGACACCGGAGTGGTACTCGGGCCTTCACCGTCCTGAGGGGTTAGACAGACAACGGGAGGCAAAGAAGACTGGGTGTAAAGCTCGTCGACGAGCTTTGAACCTAGTGCGTCGATGTTTCCGCTTTGCCTGTACTCGTCCAAAGCTTGAAAATCATTCTTGGGTGGCTCAGTTAAAAAGTGTGTAGGGTGTGCGAGCAGAAAATTCCACGAGTCCTCTACTGTTGCCCAGCCCTGAGCCTCAGCATAACAAATGGTCTGCCAACAACTAAGACCCCAGTCAATCGGGGAATACTGTCCATTTCTGCTCGCCAAGCGTGTTCTGGTGATGTCACAGACGGAACGTGCTTCTTTTACGAGGCCGAACTGTAGTAGTGAGAAGATACATTCCCGTAGGTTGTAGAAGGCTGGTAGATCTTTAATATGACCGCGCTCTGTTTCCCTTTCCCTTTCTTCCGGGGAGGATACGCCCGAGACCGCAAACTCGTCCGATCGACGCGTTCGCGGACGAAGTCTGGCCACTTGGAGCGGCGGTGGTCGAAAGCTCATGATGAAAGAACAGATGAAACTCAACAGATCGTCGAACCGCTCACAGAGAGAGAGGCCCGAAGTTGGTGACCGTTTCGAAGCCGGAATCAAGGCGAGATACGTGATTTTTCAAGGAAAGGTAAGTTGACTGGCGATTCTTCTCTTTGGATGATAGGCTATGGCACGATGAAGAAATCGCATCGGGATTGTTTAAAGGGAAAGAAATAGCTCAACGGATGTCGAGAGAACGCCTAATCGCCGAGGGCGAAACAAAAAAGACTCCTGGTGGGAAGACTCTATTTGGCGAAGCTGAAAAATAGATCTCAGATGACCCTGAACTACCACTAACTAATCTAGCTGGTAACGGTACTGCGATCCAGAAAGTAGGTCAGCATCGCACTGGTCAGGCACACTCTTGTGCAAATGTAGACGTTACTGATGAAATCTTTTGTCTTCTAGCGCCTGGCCAGCCGCCCCTCAACCTATCCCGTTCTGCTCCTGAACTCCAGAGTTTTCAGTCCAGTGCTCGCGGACACTGGACTGGATTGGCCTTGCCTTGGCAAGGCCGATCCTTATACTATATCGAGTGATGTATTCACCTGTCTACGTGCGGTCGAATCTCGTCGACGACAAGGAATAAGCGGCGTTGGGCATTGTCGGCAGCACAAATGTGAGAGCCAAGACCACAAATTTACCACCCGGTGCCTACGGAGGAATCGCGCAGTGGATTGGAAGAGATTCTGTCGTGGCAGTGACTCTGTTGAGCCTGGTTCATTACCATCGTCGGTCCAAGGGTGAGTAATGTCGCTTGAAGAGTCCGGACTTGTCGTATTGGCTGGGTAGTAAAATCCATGTGGGTGAGCACAAAGCTGACAGCCGGGCTGTATTTCCCCCACCACTATTTTGGGTACACTATTCCACAATACGGTGTTCGAGTGCGGCCTAGGTCTATCCGATACCACGCTCCTCTCGTGGGTACTCTGGTGAGTTTGGAAGCTAGTAGGCGGTAGATCCAGCCCATCCTCTTTACTCTCGACCGGAATGCCCCTGTCTGCCATGGTCAGGGCGATAGACTCGCTCGCAAGGGCGAAACAAAAAAAGACTAAACGATAGGGTAGTACAAGCTAAGTGCCGTCTTGGGGAATACGTTGAACAGTTTCTTTATACTATATAGAGTTGATCAGATTTAATAACCTTTGATAAACCAAAATAAGAGAATACGGAAATTGAATCTGAAAAATTTTCAAACTCTACTCACGCCCGCCTTACATTAATGTGGTGAAGCTGGAGGTGTGAACCAATACAATACCATAGGCTAACTCATAAGCTTTTTACCTCTCGATGTCATTAAGCTAGGGTGCCTCTTTCATACCGAGCAGGTTAAGGGCCTTGTTATAGTCCCATTTATCGTTTGGGATCACTTTCTTGTTTTGCTATATTAGAACTGCCAGCGCGGTTTCCTAACGCTGGAACTATTCTGGACATAACTCAGACCCCCCG